TACCGCCGCGCACGACGGCGGTGGGGAATCCGGCGAGGCTGGTCGGCGGGAAGGCGAATCCGATCAAGCTGGATAAAACGCCGAGTTTCACCATGGATCATACTTCTCATATAAGTGAGTGGTCTGATTATGTTATATAGATAGGGAAATTTCTGAATTCCTGAGGGCTTTTTGGTCTTTTCGACGCTTCAATTTTTTTTTTTTATAATTTTATAAATTAGTTGAAGCTCTCTGATAATGGCAAGAAGAGAAAAGAGAGAAGCCCAGTTTATGATTCTGGGTGTTCTCAAAATTATGTCCATTTTATAGTTTCCAAGTTTGGTTCTTTCTCTCTCTTGGTTTTTTTGAATTTTGAATTTTGAAGCCGTTGGCCATTTCTTTTGAGTTGTTCTAGGGCTCGAGAAATGTTCGTCTCGTAATTTTAGTTTACAAAAGTGATTTGTATATAACATGTACCGATCACAAGTGATTTTGATCACGTGCGAATGTACTTTCCGTTAAATATCATCATCTTTGAAAGTGATTTAGGAAAACACGTGTGTTTTGTTTTAGAAGTACTTTTAAGAGCATAAAAATCAAATATCAAAGTGCTATTTCCTAAAAGAACGAACTCCCAAATCAATGGTTGGTTTATTAACAAATTTGAAACTGAGTGATAAAAGTAATGTAACAATTGTAAATTTGATTCCATAACCTCCCATGCTGTACAATTTCTCTTTACTTAATAAAATGACGTGCTTGTTAGATAGATATTCACTAATGGATGGTATATTTATATTTCTTCCATTCTCTACCTGTCACATCAACATTATATTAAAAATGATATGGGTCTACTAATATTAAAAATTAATTTATAAAAACAAACTTATAGTATGAATAAAAGGGGTATGGTACTCCCATTCATACATCCAATGTGATAAATAAATGATAAAATGAAGTAAATTGTTTAACAAAATTGATTGACAACAGCTATAAAAACTTGTGTGACACTAAAAAAAAGAAAAAAAAAATCAAATTTACAACATTTAGTTTTTTTTTTTTCCTTTCTTTTGAAACAAATCGAAATTTTTTAATAAATTAAACTCAGGTAACGTAAACTTAGCTTCATAACTCTAATTATGTATACGGCCTCAACTCATGAGTCAAACATTCAATTGTACTGTTGCAAACTGCGTAAATCAATGTATGGTTTCATACCCCATGCCAACATCAACATGACAATTTAAAGAAAGCTATTATTGCAACCATGAATGTTCATGATTCGGTTCAATTCGATTTCTTTTACCACATTGTATACTGAACTATGATAGTCGATATATATATATTTTTAGTTCAACAATTCAAGGTGTGACGTCGAACCGTACCTTTAAGATGATAACATATATGCTATGCTTAAATTGATATAATCCGTTTGTTTAAGTAAATTAAAACAAAACTTTTTTTTTCTTGTCAAAAGCGAGCAGAGTTCAACGGAAATTGACATACATCTCTTAGTTGCTGGTTGTTTTTTTTTTTTTAAGGGAAGGAAAAGTAAACTAGTTATTATGATTGATAACCAATTATAATCAAACTAAACCCAATAAGTTAGGTTTCTATTCGATTTTCTTATTCTGGATTTGGGCCTAATTTTACAGTACTATTTTAAGCCCACATTTAATAAAAACATTTAAATCTCGAAGGATTTTGGGCCCAACAGACCCATTTTTCTCTTCTTTTTCTAACAAGATGTTTAAAACAATAATTAATATCTCAATAACATTAAAATTTCAAACATTTTAATAACACAAAATTACTAAAATAAAGGGATTTTTTTCCCTATTTTATAGCAAAAACCAAACTAAACCAAGAATTTTCAATTCTCCCACTTTTAGAATGCTAACATACGAATCAAACTGAAGCACCAATTGATTCGATTTTTCTTTTTTTTTTTTTACGTACAACCCTAATTGCAAGCAAAAGGAAATATGTTTAGCAGTCAAGATTGATGTCTAATATACAAACATTATTTGACCTTTTGAATAATAGCCCAAATGGACTTATGAAAATATGAAACATTACACATGTCATGTAAGAAGAGAGCATCTTGAAGGTCTTTGGTGTTCGAACTAGACAGCTTCCTCTTCCTCTCCGTAAACTCATTCGTTGCAGAAGTTCACTACTTTCCCTGGACTAGAGAAGGGCTTATACTGATCGCGTTTGTTTGAGAAGTTTTTAACTAAAATATTGAGTGTATATAGCTAAATTATAAAATAAGTTTCTTAAAAAAAATGTTTCATAACTCATAAACTTTCATGGTAGTGTCTATAGGTTCCTAAGCTTTCATTGCTGCTAAATTTGAACTTTTAATTTCGTGTCTAATAGATCCATAAATTATAAGGTGTATTTTTAAAGTATAGTGATCTATTTGATATAAAATTGAAAGTTTAGAGACTTATTAGATATTTTTAAGAAAAGTTTAATAACATGTTGGATATGAGATTAAAAGTTCAGGGACTTACTAAGTATCTTTCCAAGTTTAGAAACTTATTAAACACAATCTTGGAACTTTAGAGCCATATCTATCTATTTTAGTTTCTGTACTCCATGTTTTGTTTAATTTAGTTGCGGTACTTTAACAATGTTTATTTTTGTCGAGGGTAAAACCGAGCAAGATACGTGTCGGGCTGCTAGGACCAAACAAGGCTCGAGACCACGAATGGTTACATACATACTCTAGGACAAGGGAGCGAACCTCCACCTCTGTTGTACGAGAAGCACGCCGAACACTGCAACTTGATAGTCGCAAGTGACGGGTTTTAGGCTTGCAAGCCGAGGCGCCATCCACTGATTGTTGGGGGCGTACACTCCCGCGTCAAGCACCGTACAGCTCGGCACACCCGTACCATCTCAACCGTCGTCTTTCCTGGTTAGCCATCTACGCCTGTAAAAGGGAAATGCCAAGTAGGTGAAAAACCTATTACTAAAGGTATCTTTTCCTATTTCCTACTATGATTGCTAACTTAAGTGTTGGAGTATATTAGACGAGACACTACATTGGCTTCAAATTTTCTAGTTGTAGACTCATTTGATCCTTGCTGAAGACCCTCGTCTAGAGACACGTGAACGTCTCAAGAATTCATCGTCAACAATTTTAGTTTTTATACTTCCAATTTTAGTTCATTTTAATCAATGTACTCATAAAATATTCATTTTGATATATTTACTTCTAAAATATTTTAGTCGTTATTTTTAATTTTACCATTTAATATAAAGTTGCGATTATATCTCAATAACTATATTAAAGAGAACGAAACAATAGCCCTTTAAAAATGCACGGATCAAAAGAATACTCGAAACCAAAAAAAATAATTTGAAAATACGGGTCCAAAATAGTATTTTAACCCTAATTATTTTTACACTTACAAAAAGGGGATTTGTGCAACAAAACAAAGGGAAAAAGATGACGAATCATCGACGATCCTTCTTTTCTCCAACTCCGAGACATCGCATCACATCACTCTCCCCTGCTCATCACACAACTCCGCAATTCGCTTTGAAAATTCAAATGTCCCTGCTCATCACGCAACTCCGCAAATGCATTTGCTTGGACGTCCAATTTAACTTTACTTCACTGTCATTGTGGAAATCTCCCAAATTCCAATCCATGTTGCTCCAACAGTCAACATCTCGCAGCAAAAATGTATTAAGAGAGTGCCGAATTTCCTCCAATATAGTGATCTTCTTGGAAACTCTAATGGGTCTGGTTAGTTTTCAAATTAATTTCAATCATCGTCTTGCCCTACCCCACCATGTTTCGATTACATTAGTCAATTATGAAAGTCCGTATATGATTTTTTTCACAAATGAGGACAAAACGGTGATGGGAGAGACCATGAATCTATGATTTTGCAATAGAATATGCAGGACGGAATATTGGGTTTTCACCCAGTTTAAAGAATGAGGAGATTCTCCGTGATAGATTAATGGCAGTCTCAATTCCCAACTATCTTTTTCACTTCACGTTCTCTCTGCCTCTTTCTATTTCGTCGCGCATTGCCTGAAAAGCCAGCGCCCCTTTTCATCTTTTGCTTTCTTTTAATCGCTTTCTCCCTCTGTTTTGCTTTTTACGTTACCTCTGATTCTTGCACACCACGCTGCTCGAAAGGAAGCGAAGTTTGACTCTCTCTCTCTCTGTTTCTTATAAATATATACAGCTCCAGAAGTCGAGGACTCACTTCATCTTGCACAGAATCATGGGAACATCCCAAAAAGCTTTTTGAATCATGGGTTCCTTTGATTACTCAATGCACAGCTTCACTAATTTGTTCTTTGAAGACCCTTCTTCCCATGGCCATGGGCGCTCTGCTGCTCACTTTCTCCTTGAACCCAATTTAGCGCATGGCCTATCTGGTCTGGCTCACCTGGTATTGTTGCTTGTTATTTGCTTATTGTGGGTGTGCTTGAAGTTGAAGGCAGGTAGTGGGGAGTGTCAAAGACAGACGAGGTGTTTGTACTATAAGGGAACGTTCATATGCTGCCTTCTTATCTCTGTTTTCAATCTTGTTTTCTTCTCTCTTGACTGCTTTTACTGGTACAGAAATGGGTGGTCTGAGGAAAATCTGGTGTCCCTTTTGGATTTTGCGCTGAAAACACTTGCATGGGGCATTGTTTCGTCTTACTTCCACTGTCAAGTTCGCAAATCTGGAAAATTAAAGTTTTCAATTCATTTGAGAGTCTGGTGGGTTTCTTACCTTGCTGTTTCTTGTTACTGCCTTGTTGTGGACTCAGTTCTCTATAGACAAACCCATTCCTTGCCTGTTAGATTCTTGGTTTCTGATGTTATGTCGGTCGTCTCTGGTTTGTTGACCATATATTTTGGGTTCTTTGGGAAGAGCGTGAGTGAAAATAACACTCTTGAAGAACACCTTTTAAATGGTGAAACAAGATCTACTGCTCTCAGTAATGGCAGCCTCGAGCCGAAGAAGTGCAGAGGAGATGAAACTGTGACCCCTTACGATACTGCTGGAATTTTCAGTATCCTTTCATTCTCTTGGATCGGTCCTCTGATTGCAACTGGAAATAAGATGGCATTAGACCTTGAGGATATTCCTCAACTTGCAAGTCGGGATGCCGTTTCCGGGACCTTTCAGGTTCTCAGAAACAAACTTGAGTCAGAGTGTGGAACAATCAACAGAGTCACTACCCTTTCTCTAGTCAAGGGTTTACT